ATTCAAAAATTTTCCGGATAAGCATGCCCTGGACCCCCTAGAAATTTCGTGCATATACGGCGCTCGACTCGTGCCTTTGGCACTTCTACTAGGGGGGCCTTCGAAAATTTTGAACCGGGGGCCCCCTGATATAACGTTACGCCACTGGTACCACAGATGAAGTACTAAACATACTTTTTAAGTTCGTTTGTCGCTTCAGAAACGTATAAAAAATTTAAAAAATTGAATATAGTCATATTAACCAAGTCAGGCAAGTGGAAAAGTATATTCAAAAGTATATTCATTAACATACAAAAGACTCTCCTCTTTATTAGTAGATACTTATGATACATTGATACTTCTTTATAGATTTATCTCAGAAGTTGAAAACTCAAGGTACCAAATTGACATCACTGGACAACAAATATGCTTCAGAAGTTTCCAAACTTCGCTCGGAAATCCAGAATGTTGACAAGAAAACCAACACGCTCACAAACAACGTTAATCAACTCGGAACAAAAGTTCAAAAAGTTGCAGGTATGTAGCCTATTTATGACCCAGGCGCTTATAAGGCAATAAGCACTTCAAATAAGCAAGCACTTCAGTGTACGAGGTACCAGGCTAATATAGTCACAGAAATAATTCATCATTAAACTGAACATCAATAAAACACCATTTCTATTAACTATGGTTAGAGCTAATAGTCTCTTTCGCTATATAGATCAGTGGCCTTCTGGAAGTTATTGTATCTTGGCCAGCGGTAGTTGCCCAGCAGGCTTTTCGCGCCGTAGCGGTTACATGAAGGCTATCAGTCTGTATGCGGGCGATGGACGCTACATAAACCAGGGGACATTTGGGGATAGTAAGATACAATGTCACGGTGGATGTGGGCAGTATGGTCATTGGACTGGTGAACTGTATATCAATGCTTGCTGCAAATAGACGGACACAGCTTGGTATACATACCAGGAAAACTGAGGCACCGATTTTAACGGCATAAGGCTTTTATATATAACGATTTTAAAATAACGATTTTGGCTAACATATAGGCTAATTCTTTTATGTCGTAATTTTTAGTCTTAATAATGCATGCTATAGTTATATGCATGTACTTTCTACGTAAACACTGTATATGTATGGTATATACGTCCATGTGAATCTTAAATTAAAACTTTAAAAACTGCTATGCGTTTCACTGTTTTTTTTTGTTTAAATACTGTAACAGACAAAATTAGATAACAAAAAGATATTAGAAAGACTTGACGTTTGTGCCCCTTTCTGCTCCTTTCTAGCCATTTTTATCGAAAAGATCTCTAGTGACCTGTGACCAGTTTTCCTAGCAGTATTCATACAATGTAACATGTAATTGCGTATCAGTATTTCTGAAAAGGTTAAATAAATAATGTTGTTGCTGTTGTTGTTGTTGTATTCATGATTTGCTGTGTTGGTGGGCTAGTATTCCCAGTCCAAAGGTCGTAGGTTCGATTCCCACCGTGGCCAGGCATATTTTTCAAGCATTTTTTAATCAGCATTTAAATGACTCAGTACGTATTTATGATAGGCTATACGCCGTCGTTCAGGGAAAACGTTTGGAAATATTGTAAAAAAGCGCCTCAGTTTTGGAGCTTCTGTTAGGCAGAATTAAATGACATTCACTTGCTGACATTTTCGTACTTTAAATAGTGCTGACTTGTTGTTTTATAATGAAAATAATCCTCGTTTTAATCATAAACCTAAGAGGTTCACATGTAGAAATGGCCGATTTGCAAGCGACGACTATTCTAGCTATATATGGATTTTAGAAATATTATGTATTAGGGGCGGATCATTTGATGGGGTGGATTTTCATTGAGCATTTGAGCCCAATAATTTTTTAAACCTAATGCTGCTCGATATTTTTCTGTCATTCAAGGCTCTTGAACGATTGTTTTATTTCGTAGGCAGATATAGGTAGTAGGTATTGAGTATAGGCTATGGATCGTGATTTAAGAGAATTTTTCAATAATGTTTGGACATGCAAACGTTCACAATTGTACATATTTACAATTGTATATATTTGTCATTTATTTAACTGTATTGAGTTATTGAAATTTTCCTGGCATATTTATGTGAATATAATATATTATAATATCTACTATGTAAATGTCACACAGTAATCAGTGTAACAAGCTGTTTGAAAAATGTATATATGTGTGCAGCATAAATATTGGGTATTGTATCATATGTATTTGAAGGGTTAGGGAAGGTTATAATTTCGTTCTACATTTATATACAGTGGAATAGTAATGTGTAAGCACTCACATAAATGAACCTTAGCTACGTGTTAGGCTGTTAGCCTTTTACTATTAAGTAAAACGGGGATTAATTTCATTATAAAAAAAAACAAGTCAGCACAATTTAAAGTATGAAAATGACAGCAAGTGAATGTAATGTAATAGCCCCCCCCCCCGTAATATTTTAATTCAATGGCAGTGTTAGGGCAGTTATATATAGAAGCACCAAAACTAAGGCGTTTTTTTCAATATTTCCAAACGTTTCACGCGAAAGACGGCGAATAGCCCCCTATCATACATATGTATCGAATGCTGATTAAATTAAATTCCATTGCTAAAAATTCAAACAGATGAAAACATATTCATTTCACAGATCTAAGGCTGGTATACTTTAATTTAGAGTATTATAATTAGTTGCGGTGTTTATAAAATGCTCCGCGGTCCGCCTTTTATCCGTTCGCTTTTTATCTACACCCCATTTAACAAATATAAAACATTTTCGGTAATCGTTCCATGTTTCGCGCACCAATATAGTAAACGTTTGGATATTATAGTGTACTGAAAAGTTAACTGAATACCTCCATACACATATATACACACCCTAACCCTAACCTAACCCCTAACCTAGCTCCTAACCCTAATACCTAACCCCTAACCCCTAACCCTAACCTATATTGGTGCACGAAACATGGAACGATAACCACATTTTCCGTGTTGATATACAGTTACATCAACACGAGTGGAAATTGAGAAAACGAGAAATTGTGTGGAAACACGACGCCCGAAGGGCGGAGAGTTTTCACACAATTTCGAGTTTTCCCAATTTCCACGAGTGAAAATTAAACACTCAAGAAAGAAATTTTCCGACGTTTCCGTGTTGACATTGAGTTATATTAACACGGCTCTTAGCCAATCAGCGTTCAGAATTTACAAATGCTATATTATAACAAAACATGTCACATGTCAATAATAATATGGCAATATACGCAGCCCATGGCTATATGTCAGAGGAGGAGTGAGGACTATACCGGCATGCAACGCGGTCAGGCGCGGTTTTTTACATATTATCGACAGGGCGCTATAAAACACGGGCGGGGAAACGCGCTAATAAATGACCGTGCTACGTGTGATGCTCATTAGGATTGGCGCGAGCGCGCTTTCTCTAAAGAAATCAGAAAATCGCGTACAAGATGGCAACAAAAAAATGTAAACAAGCAAACGAGAAAACAAAGGATTTAAATGCTAAGTAATTATGTTTCGTTCATTAAAATTTGAAATATTATTTAATAAGTTATATCACGTGTAATAGCTTGTGTTGTTTGTTACTGAACACTCGGTGAATGAAAATATCAGGGCAAAAATTTTACTCGAGCGATGAAAATATTCGCAAAATTCAAAGCGCGGACGTGTTTAAAATAGTGTTTTCTCCTCGTTGAGATAGGTTGAGATAAATTTGAACACACCAAACTATAGACATTTAACTTGGCTTTATGTCTCAAGTAAAATTGAACGGTGCTTTTTTGTGCTTTTTTCAGAAAAAGGAGATATCTTGCAGCCTTTATAGTTTTCCGTATACTCCACACGACAATAGAGACAACTCATTTATGCAGATAATACGATATTTAAACAACACAAATTTTCAATTATTAATTAAACGAAATCACTTCCTGCCTCAAATACATACTATAAATGTTTATTGAAGTATCTAGTATCAGCTTATATTGCTAAAATTGGTATCTATTTCACTTGCAAAATGAACAAAGCGATTGTTGAGGAAAAGACATGCATTTTGAACTCGATTTTGACGACATTTTTTCTTTCTTGTCAAAGCGCGGACGTGTTTAAAATAGTGATTTCTCCTCGTTGAGATAGGTTGAGATAAAATTGAACACACCAAACTATAGACATTTAACTTGGCTTTATGTCTCAAGTAAAATTGAACGGTGCTTTTTTGTGCTTTTTTCATAAAACGGAGATATCTTGCAGCCTTTATAGTTTTCCGTATACGGACCACACGACAATATAGATTCGCGAGTACAACACAAATTTTCATTTATCATTTGAACGAAATCACTTCCTGCTTCAAATACACACTATAAACGTTAAGTGAAGGATCTAGTATCAGCTTGTATAGTTAAAATTGATATTTATTTCACATGCAAAATGAACAAAGCGATTGTTGAGGAAAAGACATGCATTTTGAACTCGATTTTGACGACATTTTTTCTTTTTTGTCAAAGCGCGGACGTATTTAAAATAGTGTTTTCTCCTCGTTGAGATAGGTTGAGATAAATTGAACACACCAAACTATAGACATTTAACTTGGCTTTATGTCTCACGTAAAATTGAACGGTGCTTTTTTGTGCTTTTTTCATAAAATGGAGATATTTTGAAGCCTTTATAGCTTTCCGCAACACTGTCACTGCAATGTCAACGACTACAATCGTACGAAAAAAGATTCACGCTGAATATTTTTGGAGTGTCGGCGGCAGTTATACTCCAATAATAGAAATCAAATCAATTAGTAAAAACACTTTATAATGAACTTTCAGTGGATTTCCAAGCAGGCCGGCTGATTAACACAAAAAACGGTTATATATTTAAGTTTTCAAATTGTCGAACAAAATGAAATTGTAGGGTTTTTTTTTTCAAATTCTACCTGTTTTAAATGCATGCACTGTCAATTTTGGGCTATATATGTTTATTGAAAAAGAGTAGCCAAGCAATGTCAGAATATTCTTAATGTGAAAATGTTTGTCCTACCTTCGCATTATGAAGTAAAATATCCCATTTCATACCAAAATTTTCGTATTTGGAATATGCCCACATTCGATCAGCTCGATTCCTTTTCAAATTTTTATTTCGCTCATGATGAATCTTTCCTTCATGATGAATCTTTCCTTCATCAGATATACAGAAAATGAATCCAACAATGTCTTCAAACCATCAAGTTGTTTAGGAATGTGCAGAAAACATTTTTTACTTTAGTTTTTTCAGCTCTTTTTGCATAAACATTCCAATTCCATTTTTATTGACATATAAATTAATGTATACGGGGGGTACGCGCATCACACAAAGATCAGGGGCGCTATCTCCGTTTCACCGCCCGTGTTTTATAGCGCCCTGGTGTAACCAAAAGCTTAGCCAGTGCGCTAAGGAGAGGCATTCACCCCCCCCGAAAACATACAAAATGGCGGGCATTTTTTACTAAAAAGATCGCAAAAAATTGTTTCGAAATCAAGGATATTGTTTAAAATCTCGCTGATTTTTGTTGAATTATTTTTGTTTTCAGGTTTGCCTATGGGAGGAGGTAAATCTGGGAGAGATTTGCAGTTTCTTTTTCTTTTTTTTTCAACAAAATTGTTTTGATATGAGCGGGAATTGTAAATATTTTGCCATATTTTGGTTTATGGGCTTAGCCTGCTTGACTAGTTTAGCTTTAATATACCTGTAAGTTTGTGTAAAATATCGTGGATCTTTTGTGGAAAGGAAGAAACTTTGCTTGACAAAGAATTTGGTTGACAAACGGCAAAAGTTTTCTATCTTAAGGTACGGTGTGAATCTTTTGACTATTAAAAACTTAACAATATAAACACATTCATGCTATTTTTTGCTATTTGTCTGATAGTTAGGAATTAAGAGTGCAGGGGGTTACATTAGCAATTGTCATGTGAATTCAGAATATAGTTAATGACTTAATCTGTTTTTACAACTTTTTACTGATATTTTGCAGTTGTATACTTGTATGTACTGTAGTTCACTAAGTTCAGTAGTTCCATTTATAAGCATTCAGCTCAATCAGCTGTGTCTGTGATTTATATATTTTGTCTGTGATTTATATATTCTGTTGCTATCTTGGCTGTAGTAACACTGTTGTTTGTGAATGCTAATAATAATTGGAATTTAACAGATGCTTAGTTTATTTTATTGTATGTATGAAATAATATAGTGACAATCTTTTCCAAAATAATTTCTATATGCACCAATCATGTTAAGCATGCACCTAGATGAGAGGACAGGCTACCCATGACTTTGTAATAGACTAATCAAGTAATAAGTAATGCCTGCCTGCTCAAGACACAACATTTTTGACAACAATTTTTCCCATTTGTAGACTGGGCAAGTTATGATGAAGAAGCAAATGATGATTGGCAAATTTGATAAAAACCCAAATATTTTTCAGTGTTCAGTATTTAAGTAGTGATTTTGGGTGAAGACCTTCAAAACATCCAGGAGTTTCCAAAAATAATGTTTTTCATTGGCTCCCCTGGAAATATTTTCCAAGAGATTTTTGAACCAGCTCCCTGGAAATGCATAATACAGTTTTTAAGCCAAATATTTGGGTGACAACATTCCTTTGAAATGGATTTAAATCATGTCCCTCTTTAAGAAGTTCCAAGGTCTTCACCCCTGGGTGTATTGATTAAAAATTCTAGCAAGATTGTTGGTCAACCTTTTATTTTTGTACTCAAAATTTTTCCCATGTGCATATAGGCATACCAGATAACTTCAGCCTGTACATGCATGGGTTGAGGGTGAATTAATGGTTGAATAAACATTGGACATTTTCACTGACACTGTGAAAATTCTTGAGCCATATGCACCATAAAAGGAACTAATAATGTGTGAGTGTGACAATTTCACTTCCCCTGGAAGTAGAAGTGAGGCTATAGGCCAGAGTGTGAGAGGTGAATCTATAGATTCAGGTTTTTGTTTCCTGTAATGTAGGTAATAATAAGCCATTGGATTCTACATTAGCTGCATGTAAAGGCCCTCGTGAAGAATTTTTCCAGCCCCCCAACTGTTTACCTCCAGTTTTTTCAGCATAGATTATCCTACATGTATCAGTGTTAAGCCCCGGAGTGTCAGACAAATAATGGTAAAATATGAACATTTGATAAATGTGGAATTGAAAAGACTGAAAAATACATTGTTTACATCAATTGTTTGAATGTTATATTTTTCTTCGATTTCTACAATTCAATGTTATCTGCTGTTATAAATCATTCTATTTTTGCCTCCTCTACAGGCAACTCTGTATTGTTTTGTATAACAGGTTTTCAACTCTTATTTGTTTTGTATTGTAAATGCATTTTGTAAATGATCAAACTTTGGTCGAGCTTCAAGCAAAATAGTGTTAGGCCTGGGGAGAGCAAAACATGGGAGGAAAAAATCCTATTATAAAACCTATATAAAATCTATTATACAAAACAGAGTTGCCTGTGGAAGAGGCTAATTCTACTTATATATTAACCCAGAACTCTCCCCTTGACAACTAAAATCATCTGGCATTAGACAGAAAATAATAAAGACATAAAGTAGGGTGCAATGTGACTCAATGGGTTAACTAGACACATCATGGGCAGATAGACGATTTAACCCACCTAGTGCCAGCACTCCCCCTTGACGAGTAAAATTGTATAGCATTAGACAGAGTAAAATAATCTGGTGTTAGACAGAGTAAAATAATAAAGAATGTTAGGGTTTGTAATCCAAGTGATTATATACATTTTAAGACCTGACCAGGAACGACTGCGAAAAATGCAGCACAAGGTCCTCTGGTAGGAATTGAACCTACGGCCCTGCGATTAAAATAATAAAATAGGGCGCATCAGTGCTCAATGGGTTAGAGATGAACAGACGGTCAAGTCTGTTATGCACATATGTACCTTCTGATGTAAACAATTGGTAACATCAAGGTGTTATACATAGGGTTTGTTATACCTGGTGGTCAACATTACATGTATCAACACTAATGACTTTGAGAGCAAGCAAATGAGGCTAAATTGCATGTATTCACCAGCAAACATGAGGTCAAGACATATATTACTCACACCGGTAACTGTGTTTCCTTTTAGAGTTGACCACCATGTGCCGAGATGTTGCATCACAACACATGAAAGTAAAGAATACCCAACTTTCACATTGTTTCAGCATCTCATTCAGAAACTCCAATCAAAATTCATTTAAAGAACAGCAACCTGAACGATGTGAAATATGAATTATGTACATCATATTTTTTTTTTAATATAGCGTGTTTAAAATGTAAAAAACCCAACATCCCTCACATTTTATGCTTTTTATCACTATTATAAACAGGGTGCCATACTGCTATAGTTTCAAATAGTGAAATCTTGACTGATTTCTGCCTAAGTATTTCACAAAATATTAAATACAACGATATCCAGCTGCACATAAGTTATTATACCATTTACATTTCTTCTAAATCCTTTAGACATGGCTCACATGAGTATTAATTTCTCGGTAATTTCGGAATTTCAATTTTCCACTCCTACGATGAATAACAGTGCCATATAAATCGGTAGATAATCTTCAAAGGTTTCTCATACCAACACATCTTTCAAGGACGAATTATATAAACATGTTAATAACAACTTTAGTAAAGGAAAACTGTTATGAGCAAAATAACAAGTGTTTCTCGTGCCGATTATTTTCTGAAACACTCGGGCGCCATCTTGAAATTTGAGTTCGGGGGGGTGAATGCCTCTCTTTCGCGCACTGGCTAAGCTTTTGGCGGCCGGTTACACTTTTTTGGCTGAGTTCCACCTCTGTGTAGAGGGCCCCCTATACTTTTTGCGTGAAGCGTGATGGGCTTATTTTACTTAGCCGTGAAACCTGATCGATGATTTTCTTAATCCGTGATTCGTGAAGGTATGACTTCGAATCTTTTTACGTGCACGTGAAGGAAAGATTCGATTTAACCGTGACCCGTGAATGGCAGATAGAAATATTCGTGATTCGTGAATCTTCTGTTTTGTGACCTTTTGTGTGACCAGCTTTCCAAAGAATAAATACGGTTTGTTGCTGTTTTTTGAAGTACTTGATGTACAGAAGCCTGTTTTCGACATAGTTGGAGGTTTGAAAGCATGTCGAGGTAAGTACAGACGAGTACAATGATTCTACAATTAAGAAAGACATCCTATAATAATTCGTGAACTTTGTTTTATTTTTACGTGAATCGTGATCGCTTCGATTTTTCCGTGAACGTGAAGGAATTTTTTCAATTTTTCGTGACTCGTGAAAAGGCAAAATATTTTTACGTGAAAGCATTTTGTGAAGAGGTATAGGGGGCCCTCTGTGTAGTATATCTACTCTGTGGTAATATCATAGGCTGCCCAAAAGTGCGTGTTGTAATTTTTACCCTCGCGCGTGGCGCTTGGGCGTGCATCGAGTCTACTCAGTTTATTATTAAAATTATTTGAAGCAACAAGGTTTTGTTTTGTTTTCGCTGCATTTCGAAGGGAAACTATAAGTTTGCCACGGCTGAAACGGCATCAAAATTATATCCTTATACTGACTGAAGCAAATATAATGTTGGAAGTTCTGGCTTTCTATAATTGCAAACTTTTAATATCATCGCAGATGTAATTTTCTTGTCTTTCTTCGCCCGGCAATCCTGTTTTCAAAATATTTCTCCTTGCTTTTTATAGCTCCGTGTATGAAAAACACTCAACAACCCCCCCTGAAATGGATTTTCCTGTGATTGACGTAAATGTTCAAAGCCAATGAAATCTCGCAGTCGTCATTCAAAAAAAATACCAGTATCAGGTAACTTGCATCCCGCATAGTCACAGCGAAAATTCAACAAAATTGATAAAAAAACTGTGCTTATTTTTCGTTATTTTCGATGTTGTTTTCGACAAAAAATTGACTGGCAGTTTAGTGAAAGTATCTGAGCTTACTTTTATGTTGTTTAGTTTGTGTTTTATTGCGTGTTTTTAAAGTTTTTGTGCTATTTCTCCAGGGCTACGTGCGTATATAGGAATTTAGCTGCCAACCTTAGCATATATTACTATAGGGATACGTACATGATCTGACCGCGCGTAAACAATGCAGTCGGGGACTAAGTAGTAGTATGATTTTATTGAACAGAAATGAATTAATACCACTGATTGTTGGGCTACCTATGTCCTTACCGGAAATATTCAAAATATTGTCGATCGTTTGCATCGTGAAAATCCAACACACTGCATGTAAATAACAAGGTATTAAACTGAAATCGAATTACCTGAATTATTGAAAATATTGTCGATCCTTTGCATCGTTAAAGTCAACATACTGCATGTAAATAAGCTCGTACTAAACTGTAATCCTGAGAAGAATCATGCGAGCGCAATACAAATCAAAATCGAATAGTGAAAACAAAGAGTCGTCGAATGCTCGAGCGCTGACGACAATTAGTTGCGAAAAATCTTCACATCCGACGGACTGACATGAATTGAGTATGTTTCCCAATATAACTCGGCCGGGGACTGGGCACGAAAAAGCAAGAACGTCATGTAACGTCAAGAATAGGGAGCTGCCTCGCTACGCTCGGCGGCAATTACGGGAACCACTGAGTATTTTAATATAATATACTGTAGAACAACAAATATAATATAATATACTGTAGAAAATAATTTTTTTTTATTATTTTCGGATTTACCGTTGATTTTACATTAGAATATATTATTAAAATTGGGGACAATGGCGAGAGTTTGTATATCAGATAAACATCGGCTGCTCGTGTTTTAACGTGCTTAAAAGACGGTCCATCATATGAGTTCATTGGCGAATCTCAGTTGTTCCAACAACGTTGTTCAGGCCTTGTTCGTTCATCAGGCGTCAACAACATTGTTCGAACAAGCGTGAACAATATTGTTGACAACATTGCTGCAAGTGGGCCGCACAATATTGCAGCATCCTGTTCAGAACCAAGTTGCAGCAACTTGTTGACAACTTGCAACAACATGATGATTTTTACGCGTGTACTATAGGGATACGTACATGATCTGACCGCGCGTAAACAATGCAGTCGGGGACTAAGTAGTAGTATGATTTTATTGAACAGAAATGAATTAATACCACTGATTGTTGGGCTACCTATGGTAAGGATAGCTTTATTTCTTTCTGAATTCTGGTGATATACATGAAGACATTTATATTTAGATTTGCTGTTTAGTGTTCGATATAGAGGCATTGAAACAAATATGATTTCATGAATTTGCAGTTCTAATAAGCCCACTGATTGTCTTTATATTCATACAAGGAGTCAAGATGTACTTTTAGTTTATCTATTTGTGTGGCGAATGGCGATGTGCCAAGGACGCATTTATATTAAGATTTTGTAGTCGAGACCTACATTTACGTGCTGGTTCACTAAACATTCACTCATTTCATAGTTTTTTAAAACAAATATTTAATAAAAACGATAAATAACAACTTCAACGCGGCCATGTGTTTTCCGCCTTTTTCCGTCTAATTAATGTACTTTATGTCGCCAAAATGGCGTTAGTTTGTCGACTGTTCGTTTTCGCTCCGACAGATTTGCTGTTTAGTGTTCGATATAGAGGCATTGAAACCACTGAGCTCTACTATATATATCTGGAGAACGTGCTCGCAAATGAAACGTGTCCGCAAAAACATGGCGGATTTCTATGGCGTCATATCACCGCCAATATTCATGTATATCACGCTTTCGACATTGAAGTTAAATAGGACATTCAGCACCTACGTGCTTTCGACATTGAAGATAAATCTGGCATTGAACATGCAGAACATTCAACATATTTTCGACATTGAAGTTAAATAGGACATTCAACACCTACGTGCTTTCGACATTGAAGATAAATCTGGCATTGAACATGCAGAACATTCAACATATTTTCGACATTGAAGTTAAATAGGACATTCAACACCTACGTGCTTTCGACATTGAAGATAAATCTGGCATTGAACATGCAGAACATTCAACATATTTTCGACATTGAAGTTAAATATGACATTGAACACCCATGTGTTTTTGACATTGAAGTTAAACCGGACATTGAACATGCCGCGCATTTAGCACCCATCACAACTTCAACGTTCAAAATATGTTGAAAAAAATTACCACATGTTGAATATTGGCGGAGTTGAACGATAGCGTCAAATCTCTGCCAATATTAATTAAGCTAACACAAGATAACCCCCCGGCCAAATTCATTCGTGTCCAGACCTCTAGAACATATCACATGACGCAAGCCGAGGATCGAATTCGCCGCATCTTGTCGCTGTATTGAAGGCCGTATATTCACCATAATATTCGCGTATATTCGCTTGTTTGTCTTAAATTAATTGACTTTTATAGCGTAGATTGAATTGCTAGAGACGCAAAAAACGCAAAATCTGGTAGAATGAACCCAGAGGCAATAATTTCCGCAAGAGATGCAGGCAGATGCTCTGTTTGAAGTTGCTGAGCGATTGAGACAACATGCAGTCAACAGCTGTTATTAAATGTATAAAAATTGATATTATTTTATTTATTAGATTATATTTTAAAATTCCTATTAATCGCATTATAGATAATCGATACATTTTAATATTTAGAGTGTACTGGCAAAAACAATGCGTGCGTCAACGTGAACTTTTGCTGCGACAGAAAGGCAGATGGTTTTCTTTATATATTAAATCGTTGTGGTGTAATGTGATAGTACTTGTCAATTTAGCATAATTTTGAGCACTTTTCTTTCCGGATCCGTGAGCCTTTTAATCTTTTATAACTTTATTTGTCATTTACTTATACAACTGTTTACAAAAAATCCTACTGTTTACAAACTTTTGTGTTACATACTTAATTACCGTAATA